CGACACTACTTCCAATTTCGAGCTCGTCAATAAGTTCACGGTGTGAAATGAATGAACAGGAATGAATTGACTAAGTCAGAGTTGGGTACAAATACAACCCTAGCAAACTGTACCCCATATGTGCTACCCCACTATAGCCTACAAACATGCATCAGCGATAATAATCTGACACACCCCCATAGGCAAAGTGGGGGAGAACAAGGGGTCACAAGACCAGTCAAGCAAAGCAAAGCAAGCTCAGGGTGGATCACAAAGTCACCACACAGTCCGAGCACAAGAGCAAGGCCAGAGGCCAGTTCACATGCAGGAGTACAGACATATATATAAAACTAGACAAGCAAGAGCAGGTATATATATGTCAAAGTACAAGTAAAGTCAAGAAGAGAGCAAGTGAGGCAAGACAGGTACAAGACCCAGCTGGGTACAAAAGCGCTGATGGTCGCAAGGCGCAAGTGCCTTGGTGAACACATCAGCAGTGTTGGCCTCAGAGGCCACGTAAGCAAGTCGCAACTGACCACGCTGCTGCAGCTCACGAGCAAGGAAGTAGCGGAGAGCAATGTGCTTCGTTCTGTGCTCCAAGCGCTGCTCTCGACACAAGGCCAACATGGCCTTGTTGTCTACGTACAGCACTGGAGGAGAACGAGGCAGCTCTCCAAGGTCAGTCAGCAGGTAGGTGAGCCAGCGAAGCTCCTGTGCAGCCATGGCCCCGGCGTAGATCTCAGCCTCACAACTGGAGCCGAGAACCGAAGACGAGCGAGTAGACCGCCACGAGACAGAGCCGGAACCAAGGCTGAAGGTGTAACCCTGTGACGACCGCTGCGTAGCCTGGTCGTCAGCCCAAGAAGCGTCTGCGTGCCCAGTAAGGACCACTGGACTCCGCCCTCCAAGCACTAGCCCCATGCCCGACGTACTGCACAGGTAGCGCAATACCCTCTTCGCTGCAGCCATGTGCTCTGGTCGGTGTCTCCCAGGAGCAACATAGCGTGCAAGGATGCTCAGAGGGTATGCAAGGTCAGGTCGTGTGCAGGTCATCAGGTACATGAGGCAGCCAACAAGCTCTGCATACGGACCACTCGACTCTACGGACTCATCCGAAGGCAGAGCTGAGAGTGAGTGGCGAGTAGGCAGAGGAGTGGCCTGAGGCGAGGAGTACGTGAAGCCGAAGCGCTGAAGGACCTGCTGCACCATGTGTGACTGAGTCAGGGTAATGGTGCGGCGTGCTCTGTCCCGAGTGATCTGCAAGCCAAGGTAGCTGCGCAGTTCACCCAGGTCTGTGCACGTGTGTCTCTTCAGCAGCTCGGACTTCACGTAGGCGAGTCCAGCAGTGTCCGCTGTGGCAAAGACCAAGTCGTCGACGTACACGAGGATGTAGAACGGCGGCAGGGAAGTGTCGGTACGAAGAAACAGCGACGGGTCAGCAGTAGAAGGAGCAAACCCAAGAGCCGCAAGCGTAGTCCTCAGTGTGTCGTGCCACTCACGCGGTGCCTGGCGGAGACCGTAGACTGGCCGTCGGAGGCTCCACTGGGTGCCAGGAGGGAAAGTCCCAGTGAAGCCAGGCGGACGGCGCAGCCAGATCTCCTCGTGCAGGCTACCCTGCAGGAACGCAGTGCTGAAGTCGAGAGAGTGAAGCTCGTAGTCGCGCTGAGCGGCAATGTGCAGCAGCACCCGAAGAGTGGTCATCTTCGGGGTGGGAGAGAAGGTCTGAAAGTAGTCAACTCCCTGCCGCTGACTGAAGCCACGAGCCACGTAACGCGCCTTGAAGACAGGCGGCGAGCCCGGCGGCCGCTTCACCCTGAAGATCCACATGCCACTGACGATGTTCGCCCCAGGAGGGGGAACCGCGTCAACGTAGGTGCCTGTGGACTTCCGGGAAGCCATCTCTGCATCCATAGCTGCCTGCCACTGAGAGGAGTAGGGACCCTCTACGGCCTCCGCGTAAGAACGCGGAGTCGGGATGTCTAGTGCATCCGGGTCTCCCTCAGGGGCTAGCAGTACAGACGCGAGACGAGGTGAAGCAGCGGCTAGACACTGGAACTCCTCCTGCCTGTCCTCTAGGACGTCCGTGCCAAGGGCACACTCACCCCCGACGGACGGAGGACAGGCGGACTCTGACTCAGCGACAAGACGAGCAGCGTAGTCTAGACGACAGCGCGCAGCAAAGTCGACAAGCTCAGTGACAAGGGCAGACGCAGCAGACGACGCGAAGGAAGGGTCAGTGACAGCAGTAGCAAGGAGACGCGTGACAGTAGGACTGGCAGCACGAAGAGAGTCCGACTCCGGGTCGGCAAGAGCAGGAAGAGAGGAAGCAGGAGGAGAAGGCAAAGGGGCACGCAGAGGAGCAGTGGACGGACGCAGTGACATCCGGTGCGTGCCAGGGACAGGAGGAGGACGCTGACGCGACCCGCGACCACTAGCGCGCTCAGTACGAACAGGCGACGCAGGACGAGACGTAGGCTCACGACGCTCAGTAAGGCCTCCAGTCGGACCAGCGTAGGGAGAAGGAGCAGGCAAAGGGGAGGCAGGCTCTAGCTGTGGCTGTGACCGGACAGGCTGCGGACCCTCTAAGGGAGGAGGAGGAGGAGCAAGACCAAGAACCTGCTCCAGGAGCGGAACGAAGTACGGTCGAGACCGCGCGGCGACGCCAGAAACAGCAGGAACAGAACCAGCAGCTCCGGCCGGAGCACCCACTCCAGCAGCACCTCCAGCAGAACCACCAGAAGCTCCAGAACCTCCAGCAGCAGCACCAGGAGCACCGTCAGTCGGACCACCAACCGCAGGCTCAGCGCCAACGTCCTCAGCAGGACCAGCTCCAGGAGAACCCTCAGACCCAGCAGCTCCAGCACCCACAGGACGAGCACCGCCAGGTCGCGTGGCAGCAGCGCCCTCCGCAGCCGAAGAACCACCAGCACCAGCGGCACGCCTCCAGCGCCGGGCAAACCACTCACGCAGCTCCTGTGGAGAGAGCGGCTCCCGGCGAGACGAAGCACCCCCAGGCACAGCACCTCCAGGCTCGGCACCTCCAGGCTCAGCACCCCCAGGCTCAGCACCCCCAGGCTCAGTACCCCCAGACACAGCACCCCCAGGCACAGCACCCCCAGGCTCAGCACCCCCAGGCACAACACCCCCAGGCTCAGCACCCCTAGACTCCGCACCCCCAGGCTCAGCTCCCGCAGCAGCACCGGAGTCACCAGTGACCTCGACAGGCTCGACAGCGTCTACCTGAGACACACCTGAAGGGGCAGGACCCTGAGGGGGGAGGGGGACTACTGGGGGGGGACCTGGTACCAAGAAGAGCGGGGGTGGGGGGAGGGACGGAGTGCGGTAGGGGAAGAGGCGGTAGTAGGGTACCGACTCGTCGAACGTGACGTCCTGGGAGGACAGAACACGTCGAGAGGTGGGGTGGTAAAACTGCCACCCAGGGGCGTCGGGGGGGAACCCGAGGAAGACGCAGGGAGAAGCACGAGGGGACAGCTTGTCCGCAGACAGGTCGCGGACAAACGCCCGAGATCCCCAGACCCGGAACGCCGACGCATCGCCAACCTTCCCCGTCCACAACAGAGCTGGGGAGGTCTCCGGTCGAGAGACCCTGGGGTGGAGGTTGATCTGGTGCGCAGCGTACCTGGCCGCAAACGGCCACAGAAAATGGGGAGCAGCCGCATGCATCATGGACGTACGAGCGACGTCCATGACCATGCCAATGCGGCGCTCAGCGATCCCATTCTGCTGTGGTGAGTCCGGAAGCGTGAAGGTCTGACGGATGCCTCGCACACGACAGTAGGCACTCAGGAGGGCAGAGGAGAACTCTCCGCCTCTGTCCGAGTGCAGACGCAAGACAGGGAAGTCAGAGCCAAAGCTTCTCCGAAGCTGAAGACGAGCTGCGCGGATCCAGTCGATCAACACCTGAGTGACCTCACCCTTGCTGCGCAAGGGGAAGACTGTGGTGTAACGCGAGTAGTCGTCAACCACCAGCAGGAAGTAGCGCTCCTGACCCTGTCCACGGACGCGGGCTGGGCCCCACACGTCCATGTGAAGCGTCTGCAACGGGGCCTCTGTCGGAGGAAACTGGGAGGAGTGAGGGGCAGCACGCTGGCGCCCCTCGACACAGGGGACACAGGCAGGGCCAGGGCCCGGAGGAAGGGGAGGGAGGGACCGGGGAAGACCAGACACAAGGACCCGCGAGGCCATGCCTCTGAGCCGAAGCAGAGAGGGGTGGCCAAGGCGGTGGTGCCAGAGGAGGGTCTCGTGAGACAGACGACGACACGAACAAGGGGCAGACTCAGGACCAGACCTGGACGCTGCAGCAAACACCTGACCAGACGAAGGGGCCCTACCAGACGCAGTACCTGGAGGAGAAGCAGTGGTCAGTGTGTACAGGCTCGACCCCGGCCGACGTGTAAACGTAGCCAGGTGGCGACCTGTATCCGCCTCCGTACAGTGGGTCACCCGCTGACGAGCAGGGGTGAACTGGTGGACACCTGCATCCTGGAGGTCAGCACCACTCACCAAGTTCGTCGAGAACGAGGGGAGGTAGAGACCAGTCAGGGTGCCAGAGGGGGCCGCCGGACACGGGAGGACAGTGGAGAAGCGAGACAGGACAGGCCCCCCAGAGGGGTCCGCCAGGGACACCGCAATAGGCCGACTCAGCGGCGTGAGAGTGGTGCGGTCCCTAAAGAAGGAGCGAGACGCTCCAGAGTCAAGGGTGAAGGTGTGAGAGGCCGAAGCCGACACAGTACCTGAGAGGGCGGACTCACCAGTACCTGAAAGCACAGACGCACTGGCACCTAGAGCAGCAGCCTCACTAGTACCTGACGCGGCAGTACCAATGCTCGGGTCGGGCGGGAAACACCGGTAACAGTCATCCTCATCACTACCAGTCACAGCATACATAGCAGAGAGAATAGCATCAAAATCAAGATCATAAATAGCCACACCAGCCCTAGACAGCTCTCCCCAGCGGGGGATCTCAGCGGCCTCCGGAAACTGCTGACGCCAGGCGTCGGTCAGGCGGCCAAAGCAGCGACGGGCTGTGTGGGCGCCTCCACACCTCTCCCCTGCACGGTCACCAGTGCGAAGAACGTAGGGGCAGGGACCAAGCGCACCACCGCGCTGACGCTGCAAGTACCACTCACGGAGCTGCTGAGGGCCGGGGACGGTGCGAGAGCGCTGCTGCTGCTGCGGCTGCTGCTGCGGCTGCTGCTGCTGCTGCTGCTGGCGCTGACCACCCCCAGAGCTGCTCCGCTGGGACGAGCCACTCCGACCCCCTCCTCCACCGCCACCCCCGCCTCCACCGCCACCCCCGTCGCCACCGCCACCTCCCCCACCAGGACCGTCGCTCCCACCGCTCCCACCGCCTCCTCCGCTACCACCTCCGCCGCCACCTCCGCCTCCACCGCCGCCACTACTACCTCCACTCCCGCCACCACCCCCCCCGCCACCCCCACTCCCCCCTCCACCCCCACCGCCTCCTCCACCGCCCCCTCTGGCTCCACCCGCTCCCTTGCCCCCCTTGCCCTTGCCAGTGCGGCGTCTGCCACTGGGGGCAGACGCCGCGCCGACCGACTCAAAACCAACGAGGTCGGCCGCAGCGGCAGAGGCGACAGAGGGCAGCAGGGGGGAGGGACCACACCCCTCAAAGATGGGGGTGCGAGGGTCACCCCGAGAGGCCCCTACAGCGACAATACTCTTCTCAGCCGCTAGCAGGGACTCCTCAAGGAGGTCGACAGTGAGAGTGGTGGGACAGACAGAGAGAAACTGGTCCCTAACGACACGAAGGGACTCAGGGAGACGGGTGACGAGAAAGTAGAGAGTGATGTACATGGGAGGAGGGTTCGCAGCGCGGAACTCAGCAGGAAGGGCAGCGCGGTAGCGGGTGTCACTAGCGCGGAGGTGGGTAACGAGGTCAGCGACAGTGGGAAAGGAAGCGAGGTCAGGGAAGAGAAACGGTAGCATGAGGCGGCTAAGGGTAGCGGAGGAAGGGGAGGAGTAGCGCGCAACTACAGCGTCGTACAAGGCTTGAGCGGTCTTGCACTGACTAAAGTGGGCACGCTCAGAGGAAGGGAGGTGGCGACGCACAGCAAGACGTGCAGCAGCATCGCGGGTCGCCCACTTGGAGCGAACGGCAGAGTCAGCATCAGCAGGCGAGGCAGGGACAGCGCCAGAGACAAAGTCAAAGAGAGAGACCTCATCTACCGCATCACACAGTAAGTACAGCTGCAGGTCCTCGATCCAGACGGCAAAGTCAATGGCCCTCCCCTCAGCGTCAAAAGTGAGAACATTGGGGGTGGCCATGGCAGCAGCTGAAAGTCTCACCGGGATGGGAGAGTCGGGTAGGTCAGCAGCAGGCGACTCGGGCTGCTCGGGCGGCTCGGGCGGCTCGGGCGGCTCGGGCGGCTCGGGCGGCTCGGGCGGCGCAGGTACCGGGCGGCTCGGCTGCTGCTGGGCGGCTCGGCTGCTGCTGGGCGGTTCGGCTGCTGCTGGGCGGCTCGGCTGCTGCTGGGCGGCTCGGCTGCTGCTGGGCGGCTCGGCTGCTGCTGGGCGGCTCGGCTGCTGTTGGGCGGCTCGGCTGCTGCTGGGCGGCTCGGCTGCAGTGTAGTGGCGGGGCCGGGACAAGGGACGGCGGGGCCGTCAGGGTGCAGCGGTGGGGCCGAGACAGGGGACGGCGGGGCCGTAAGGGTGCAGTGGCGGAGCCGGGACAGGCGCAGTGGCGGGGCCGCAGGGTGCAGCGGCGGGCCGTCAGGATGCAGCGGAGGGCCGCTGGAAGCACCCGCGGCTGAGCAGGCTGCGGGGCCGCGTCGTAGGAGGCGGCAGGGCCGCGGCTGAGCAGGCGGCAGAGGCCGCGTCGTAGAGGGCGGCGGGGCCGCGGCTGAGCAGGCGGCGGAGGCCGCGTCGTAGCGGGCGGCGGGGTCGCGGCTGAGCAGGCGGCGGAGGCCGCGGCGTCTGCAGGCGGCGGAGGCCGCGTCGTAGAGGGCGGCGGGGCCGCGGCTGAGCAGGCGGCGGGGCCGCGTCTTAGCAGGCGGCGGGGCCGCGTCTTAGCAGGCGGCGGGGCCGCGTCTTAGCAGGCGGCGGGGCCGCGTCCGAGTAGGCGGCGGGGCCGCGACTGGGTGGCGGGGCCGCGTCTTAGTGGCGGGGCCGCGACTTAGTGGCGGGGCCGCGACGTAAGGGCGGGGCCGCGACGTAAGGGCGGGGCCGCGACTGGACGGCGGGGCCGCGAACGAAGGGCGGCGGGGACGCAGGGGAAGGGCGACTCGGGGGGGTCGCTAAAAAAAAGGATCGCGCGCCTCGGGGCGCGCTTCGGTGGGCCCTAGGCGAAGTTCCCACAGGGAACCCGCTCTATACCATGTGAAATGAATGAACAGGAATGAATTGACTAAGTCAGAGTTGGGTACAAATACAACCCTAGCAAACTGTACCCCATATGTGCTACCCCACTATAGCCTACAAACATGCATCAGCTATAATAATCTGACACACGGGGCTGGATGCCCTTCGCCCGAGCGTAAGTGATGAGCACTTCTGTGGCTTGGCGCGCCACACGACGTTCACTTCGGTCAAGCAGAGCATCTGCAGTCATGGTCTGCATGGTGAAGGACAATTCTGAGTTGAGCATCTCGCAGTCCACTCCGAGTTCCAAATTCGGCTCCATCAGCTCACTCGTTGGCTGCAGCTCGTCAAAGCACACGAACTCCATAGGGCTCATTGCCCTATGGCCCAGCTGCAGACGCTGAATTGCGTCTGAGAGATCTGCAATGACGGCCTGCGAAACTCCACTAGGTGAGCCCATCGTTGTTGGGGTCACGTGTTCCAGCTGCGGCAGCCACTGGTCAGGAAGGCATCCCGTGCGCCAGAAGCACCTTTGAATAGTGCTTGCATCGATAGATTTCACTGAATCACCAATCCACGTCACGGTAAGTCTAGCCCCTGGTTTCGAGCGACGGAGTTCGGCGCCACTGGTACCCTCGTCGAACACCTTAATCAGCTCTGCAACCCTGAGCTGGCGGAACCGCATCTTGAAGCATGCGATAAGGCCCTGGTCCAGGGGCTGCACAAAGGTGGTTGTGTTGGCTGGAAGGTAGATGATACGCACGTTCGTCATTTTCACCGTCTTAATCCCGAAAAGTGATTCCACCCGGCACATCGTGGGATCAATCGTATGGGACGATGTGTGAAAGAACATCGCCAAAATGTAATGTCCCACCACTGTCTAGAAAGATTCTTTCCGAATACTTTCGGGACAGGTTGAAAAGTGTCTCGTAAGACACTTTCGAGACTAGGTGAAATGTCCCGAAAGGGTCACGCCCAACTGACTCGAAACTGTCTTACGAGACACTTTTCGGACACATTCGAGTCTCGGCGCCAGTAGCATGGAGGACTCCCCACGGACACATTCGGGACACTTCTGGGACCCTATGAAAATAGCAATGGCCATCATCCTGTCCTACTAGCAGATTTGTACTCTACTGTGATATACTCGTGAAAGCATAGAATGTCTTATATTAATGTTGTTATCTAAAACATTTCTACACATATAACAACCACACCAACCTATGCCGCCCTAACAAAAGATTCTACTCAATCAATCATATAGGTCTTTTGAGCTAGCAACCGGTGTACAATTTTTTTTGAAAACAACAAAATTAAAACCCCGGATTGCTCCATCAGAGATCCCCGCCACTGTCCCATCCCGCATGACCACCCATCTTGAATCACTCCATCCACGGACCCTCGTCTCCCACGTGCGACGCAGGTCGCACCTGATACTCCTCCGGCAGATACTCATTGAACCCACTCTCGTTGATAAACAGCCCAGCTTCACCCCACTTGAAAGCCCCCATCTCAGGGACGTACAGGCGCCCCTTCGCCACGGCCAGCCACATCTTGATGGCTGTTTCGACCTCTGCCAGCACCTCCACCATCTCGCGCTCGTTGGTCAGGGGGCTTTGTGAGAGAGTCATTGACTTGTCCCTCATGTTGGTCATGCCATAGTCGAACTGTCACAAACAATAAACCGTGGGTTTAGATGGAATAGGGTATGAAGGAGCCTGCCAACATAAAGTTTCTTACTGACACCAACATGGCTACGGGTGCGGAGCACTCACAGAAAACAGGACCCACGCTATGTGATAGGGGACGAGGACAAGGATCCCGTCAGCAGTGACCCACTCAGGGTATGCCGCCTTGCACGCTGCAAAGAAGAGGGCGCTGGTGAAGGGCCTCTTGTCGCCCTTCTCATGGCTCCACGAAGAGACCTTGTGCCCAAGGTGCTCCTCTGCCACCCAGTGAAGGGGATAGATGGGATCAGAGTTACTTAGGGACTGAAATGGGGTTGAGGCAAGTTAATGCGTAGAGAATGATAATGGCATTGGACCAATACGTACGTGGGCCGAGGGTCTCCCACCACTCTGCCTTCCTGGCTGTGTCCAGCTCATACTTGTACAGCCCCGTTCCCACGACGTCTATCCCCAGCCCGCAGACAATCGTGTAGCGTGCCATAGAGGACGAGTCGTTCCTGAACTTCGTCCACACTTTGTTTACCTTCGTACTGTACTCCGTCTTGGACATGGCGTAACAGACCTGGACGTAGCTCACGTCATGCGTGGCACGAAGGATGATACGTAGCGCCTCGTTCCTCACTGTGTTCGAAGGGAACAGGGTCACACCTCGGGCCGCACCGTTGCGTAGCAGGAGATCCATTGCCATCTTTGCGTGCACCTGGTGACGGGACCAGGTCATGGTCAAAAGATGCAAACAGCATTAGGTAAGTCATCTGATGCTCCTTGGGAAATTGGCTTTCAGATTAGGCTAAGATTCCTGCCATGGCATGGTGGTGCAACCGGCTAAAAAAAAAAACCTATGAAACCTGGATTAGTGCCATTCGTACTCGTAGCTTCAGAATTACTTAGGTACTCCGTGCGCATACTGACCACGATCTCATCTGGAGACGGCATGCCACGTATCAAGCCCTCCCCGCTCCTCTCCGGATCATAGTCAATGATGAGTGTCATCAGCGGGACGTTCCTTTCCCGCTTCACACCACGAGCTTGGAAGCCCTCGGCAGCCCCTGCGCCATGCCCGCGGTACGCTGCTCCTCTTGTCCGGTACGTGTCATTCCGCTGGTCATGCACTCCTACCCGTGTAGGTTGTGCCGCAGGAACAGGGCCGGGTGCACCTCCGTTGGTGTTGTTGATGTGGTCACGCTCCTTCTTGAGTCTGTTGGTGTAAAGCCCTCCGTTCAATGGCCCGCGATGTGCAACAGCCTTAGCGTGGCCGACAGCCTGGGGTGGGGTTGCGGGCTGTGAGGTAGGCTGTGGTGATGGCTCATGATGGTCATTAGTGAAAGCATGAGGGTTCTCGTCCGTAGCGATAGGGGGAGCTCGAGGTATGTTACTCGCGGCTGCCTGCGTGTCACCCCTGTTTAACCCAGAGATGGGGCCCTTTCCACATTCTTCGTGCCTGCGGACAGAACTGTCAATACTCGCCAATGCCTCTAACTCATCAGCACCTAGCAGTGGAGTGCCACGACTACCAGCAGCCGTAAGGATACCCGAAATGTCACGGCCACGTCGCTGGCAAACGCTGTTGAGCAGCCTCGTCAGCTCTAAGAGTTCTGGGTCGTCTCCTCCGGCATCCCCAACACCCTCCTCGGGGGACGATTCACCGTGCTCTGCCTCCATGTCGTGAGTCTGTCCCACGCCACCATCGAAGAAAGGCGTTGGCACCATTCCAGGGAGGCCAGCGCCCATGCTAGTTCCACGTTCTGCGTTGGCCATAGAACGATGAACCAAAGGTGACATCTGTGTTGAACCAGCGTTTACCAACGCAGGAGAGAACAATGGTCCACGCTTGACCGAGTAGTACTGCTGTGTGGGACTGCTCGACCACTGCCTCCAAGCATTGAGTACCGGCTCACTTCCTGCTGGAGTCAGAAGCGTCGACGGCTTCAACTCGGTCGCTGCAGCACCTTTACCGCCATGTTCTGGTGAACTCCAGTCGATGGGTGGCGGCTTGCGATTCGTCCCAGGAGGAGGTGAACAGTGAACATGAGGGCTAGTAGAACCAGCTTCCCCCTTCGCCCGACCATTCAGCGCTTGTTTCGCGCCATCGGCTCCATAACGGGCTTTGTGCTGCTGATAGTTCGCCATCCCGGCCGAGGCCACGCCTGTTGCGACGGGGATCAACTGCGGCACTTGCTCACCCCCCTGTACCTTCCGTGTGTAGATGCTCTCTCCCTGCCGCCACATGTTCTCTTTGCTAGACGCCCTATTCTCGGTACATCAGAGTCAGTTCCTGCCTCGCTGCCAGATGCCTCCCATTCTTCGTCCACACTGTTATCGCCACTGCTTGACGTAGCTTGTGATTCGTTCGTTCCCTCCTCCGACTCCGCCTCGGTGCAATCAGAAAACGGCACCGTATGGAGGATTGCGTTGTAGTTCACAAAAGCCTCAAGCCCACCCTCGCAGCTTCTTGGCCCGCCATGATCAGTTTCGCCGCTCGCCACGGGTATTGGGTCACTCACTGCATGGTGGATCTCTAAATCAACAATGAGCCACGGAATGGTAAACCCAACTCATCTAAATGCAATAATTGTGAATTGAGGCCCCAAAACAGTATGCCTAGTCCAAGCAATGCTCACCAGTGGCACCGTGCTTCTCCTGCTTTCCGCTGTCGTGAGCCTCCACTACTTTCACCGGCTTGCGTCGGCCAGGCCGGTGCTGCGCATGCAAATCAAGCCTCTCCTCGACGGTGAAGCCGTACGGCTTAATGGGCGGGTCTGCGGGTCCAGCGATGTCCGGGGCTTGCTCCGCTACCAAATAACCCTTGGGCGTAGGGTTGGACACTCGGTGTTGTCTCAAGAACGTCCTAGTCGCCTCCACATCCGCCGCCCATTGTGCAGTCGACGGCTTAGACTTACCTCCACTTTTTATGCCTTCGAAATCATCAAGCCTCTGGGGAAGACGTCTAACACGCACCGGACGAGCGACAGCGGCACACATGGTGAGCGGCTGTTCCACTCTTACCTAACAAAATATAGCGCCTATGCCACGCTAAGTTAGTAAGGTTCGCCCTGGTGTGAGCGTAGCATTCCCATGAGGGATAAGAAAATGTTACCGTGCTTGTAATCGTCAAATAGAAGAGGAGCTCACGGATCGACCCCGTAGGACCTTATTCCTCATTGATCACACTCCCCGGGGGCCACTCTCAGCCGTGGATATTCACACAGGGCAGTTTCATGGGCGCTCCATGCAGTCTCGTCCTTCAACCAAATTACAGGTGCAAAATGCGCCGTGGTTTTGCCACATCACCTCGTGCAAGTCGATCATCTCACATCTCACCAGCAGAAGTATGCCACGTGGATCTATAGAGGGTTCCTCGTCACTGCTTCGAGCAAATGGAAACCACTGGTGTAATTTTCTGTATGTCCCTGTGACAGCCTGTCGTTTCTCGATAGGCCCGAACCACATCCACAGCAGGCCTCTGGTGCTTATGTTACCCACACAACCGCTAACATCCAGCTCACTGACCCTCTGGAGCATAGCAAACCGTTTCCTACACCGTGGGACCACTGAGCAATTGCACATTCCAAAATACGGTAACCCAACGTAATCGAGAGTCAACATTCAGTCCATGTCCCCAAACTGTCCCTAACCTGTCTCCCGCCGCTACACATCCCAATGGTTTCGCTGCTCGGCATCCGATAAACAAAATGACATAGCATAGACTTAGGGTTACGCCGTCACTTACCCGGCCACCGAACCAGTACCTCCCCAGAAAGCCTCCATTGATTTAGCAGATGGCTAGGAAGCGTAACAAGAAGGTCGCTAAACCATTTGAGCAGTATGTCATGCCATATCCCTTAGGAGGCGGCTATTTGACGATCTCCCCTCGCGAGGCAGATTTCCTGCAGCCAGGCAAGTGGGTTAGCGGTGACATCATCGAGTGGTGGGGCATGTGAGTACTATTCGTGCGAAGTTCAACTTCGAATGAAGATGCCAAAGCTTCCATTCAAATAGCTTGTAATCTCTGATTCATCACCTTTCCTGCACCTATCTGTAGTGTTTTACAGTTCGAACACGACTTATCCCGTCGTGAGTGGCTGTACTGCAGCACATATCTGTACGACCTAATGCAACGACCCTCACGATCGGCTCCATGCACCAACTATACATTCGGGGAGAACGTCCTGACATTCAAATGGGTATTCATCCCAATAAACCTAGAGTAAGATCCATTACAATCGTACTGAGCAACCTGTAGTGATGGCTCATTCTTACAATCGCCCGAGTGTTTGCTTAGGACTGGCATTACATCCTATATCATCCGTTACAGCAATCACTGGAGCCTTGTCTTGCTGGACAACAACCCGCCTGTGGACGAGGATATAATCCCCCTACCGCCACGGATTCTCCACGCAGACTCTCTCTCCCAGCACTTGTTATTCGACGCACCCATCAAAAGGTATGTAGTATTGATAGTACGGGACGTGTCAGTGCGGGCAGAATGATGTTACCTCGTAACAGACGGACCATTGTACTGTGTTGCATCTAGCAGCTTCCTGCGGGAACAACTGATGATCCTGAATCCGATCGTTACGGAGTTAGAGGCAGAGGTATGGGAGAGCGGGATACGCTACGCGCCAATTGAGGTAAATGTGCAAGGCTCTTTTGCTCTCCCACTTATAGCAACACCGTGACGCACACTGTTGGCATGCTGAACGCTGAACATGCAGGTGCCACGTCAGCAAAACGCTGACGACTGTGGCATATACATTATGAAGTTTATGCAGGCGCTCGTTGAAACCAGATTTCAAGACGTGAAGACCATTGTGGCACATGGATCAAGCGTCCAATGGCGTGCCAAGTATCTTCAGGACTTCATTTCATGGAGTGTGGCCTATAGCAACAAGTAATGTTGTGTGTAATATTGTGAACATGGTCCTGCTTGCTTTAGGACTAGATGTTTGTACAGGGTACTTATTGGTTTTCAAACAGTTACGAAATATCAAGAAACCTGCATCACCTACTAGCATTGCTGCCACCTTGGGGATCATGTAACCCAGTGTAATTGGTCCTTGTGCACGATGGGAGTATTACACATCGGCTAGTACAACAACGAGACATGAGATTATCATGCTTAGTGACGCACACATATGAAATTCGTTAATCGAAACTACTAGAAGTTGCCTATAGCGCGAACGAGATTGGACCTCAGGGGACATCAACCAGCCTAAACTTGTACCTCTGGGGTTTCGTTTTGCCAGTCGTGCTCTCACCTAACTTGGTTGCGCCGTGAGATGGCTGCTTGGAAGAACTTGCGCGGCAGGCGAGCGTCGCTACGAGAGCAACTACTAGGGGAGGAGCCTTTGGTCGACACAAAGGAACAATACGGCTCCTGGTCTATGAGGGTCTCCGGTGCGTGGATGCTATCCGAGTTCAACCCTCATGCACCTCATGACTTGGGCAGGCCGGGGTCAGGCCCTGGCTTAGATGAGGGAATGTCTGACGAAGATGTCGAAGCGCCATGTCGTAACTTGGGACTTGCACCGTACGGACCGACTGAAACTAAGGACGCCGAAACGGAGGCAGGAGACTGGGGGTTACTGGATGCACAGACGGAGGCGCAAAAGGATTCAGAGGCGACTGATGACGAGGAGACGCAGGACGCCATACCGGAGGTCGCGACAAAGGACGCCGATGTCGAGTTTGGAAGAGCGGGTGTGGATAGAGGAGACGCGGAGACAACTGATGACACGGCCGATGTGGCGCCAGAGGACGCAGAGACTGAGGATGGTAATGACGAGGGGCCGTGGGAAGACGCAGAGACAAAGGATGGTAATGAGGAGGGCGCGTGGGAAGACGCAGAGATCGTTAACAGAAATGCGGGTGTGGCGCCAGACGACGCAGAGACCGAAGGCGGAAATGCGGAGGTCGCTAAACGTGAGGCAGAGACCGAGAACGGAAATGTGGAGGTCGGCAAACAAGACGCAGAGACCGATCACGGAATTGTGGAGGTGGCGCCTGAAGACGCAGATACCGAGGACGGAAATGCAGAGATGGCGCCAAAAGACGCAGAGACAGAGGAGGGAAAGCCATCTGTGGCGCAGGAAGATGCAGAAACAGAGGACAGGAATGCGGAAGGACTGGCAGAAGACGTTATGACAGAGGAGGGAGAGCCAGGGGTGGCGCTGGTAGACGGGAAAGCAAATGGAGGGAAAGACGCGGCATGGCGACATGAACCGGGGTTGACAGGCAAGGGAGGTTCTGTCTCTTCCGCCGACGCCACCATAGAGCGACCTAACTTTACCGCACATGTTAAGGTGGAAGCCGTTCCCACGCCAGCCTCGACTTTGAAGCTAAGCGGGGAACATGCCAGTGGCGCAGGTGTTGCGAAGCCTTCACATGAAAACAACTCTGCCTTGAGGGGGGGGGTGGGTCACTGTAGGGATGTACCTGACGGTTATGTATTCTCGAGTAATGCCTCCCCGGCTCGAGCCAAACTTGTACCCAGCGGTGCAACCCAGGCCACCCGCTCTGCATCGAATGACGCACAACGGGGTATGAAAAGGACAGTGACGGATGATTGTCATGATCGCGTATACGCACGCTGAGGTTTAACATTGTGTCTTTCTTTCTCTTTTTCTCGTTGTGTAGGCTCGCGTCAAACTTCTCGTAGCCCTGGGGGCCACACATCATCCAGGAGCAGGCCGGTTTTCCACGGCCTAGTTGCGGGTAATTTAGTACCATTGCGTATTATTCAATATCCATGTATTCCTTTGTGTTAACCAATCCCCAAGGGCACCCACATGCAGGAGGGTCCCGACCTACTACTTATGAAGATGCTCGGCTCTTCATGCGTTTGTTGGAGCGGCTCTTACCAGCAAAGGAGGTCAAACGTAGTAGGAAGGACTCTGGCGCTGGTTGATACAACCCTATTTGTTATGGTGCAGCCATGAACGGTCACTAGTAGTTTGAGTTGCAATCACATAGAACAGACTGATGCATTTGAAGAAGGCCCTAGGCTGCGTAACCCCATGCATTTTGGCTGTGTGGCTGTTGTTATGTTTAGGGGGTTAGTGCTTGGTCAATGTAGTTTATATTACAAAGTAGGGTAAACAGACCCCCATCGTCAGAACTGATGCTCCAAATATAAGTTATTCTATATCCTGAATGAGTCATATCACATCCAGCGCTGTACCCAAGGCATAAAAGGTACAGTGCCGTAACAGAGCGGGAAATGTTCCTGGCTGTGAGTCAGTGAGACGTGGAAATCGCCGTTGTGCTCGTAGCTGGATCTCAGTAGCAAACCCTAACTGCCGAACCGATTAGTCGCGACATTCGTTAGAAGTTGTAGACGCGCATGCCAGTAGAACTATGCGAATTCTGTGGTGATACATTCGGCAGCTTTCAGATTTTAAGGTCGCATCATGGGACATCGAAAAAGTGCCTTGCAGAACAGGAAAGGCTAGCTACACTTGGCATCCCCCTAGGACGTTATCATGAGTATCCACGGACGGTATACGAATACGTATATGGGGAACAGTCCCATGGGGTCATGGATTCAGAGGGCGAGGATGAAGTGGGGGACGAGTACAGTGAGCGTGGCGAGGAGAGTGAGGATGTTCAGGAGGCACATGAGACGGACAGCGTGTCGAGCGCGGCTAGCTCAGAACGGTCGGAGGAACGCGGCATAGAGGTTGACATACGTGCACAGATTGCGCACATCGCTCGCAAGTACAACCTCCCGAATGAGGCTATTACAGACATTATACAGCTGTTTAAGGCGCGTAACCCGTCAGACGACGATCTCGAAACGTGGGAGACTTATAGAGATCTGGAAAAATGGGAGGAGGAGGTTTTGGAAGCGCATGAGCACTGGGAGGAGGTCGAAATAGTACTTGAAGGAGATCTCGGTGTGTTGACGTTTCGTCACCGCCCGATCGTGGAGGTATTTGTGGCATTATGGGAGAGGATGTCAGGAGTGGATGGGTTTGCCACTGCATGGAGGGAAGAGAAGGTCGACGGGGTGATGGTATATCGCAATGCGGCGGGTGGCAAATGGTTTAAGGAAGCCACGGTGAGCATTACCGCCACAGCAGGTCAATGTCCTGCCAAACCATTCGCACCGTTTGTACTAAGTGGTCTCTCGTGACATTTACAGGGAGCTATGGATGGAGAGGCGATTGTAGCAGGAGTGATTTTGTTTAGTGATGTGACCCACCTGAGTTTCAATGGGCGTCAAACGGCGCACCCCTTGCAATTCACGCTCATGAACATTCCAGCGGCATTAAGGTGGATGCTGGGAGCAACCGAGCTGATTGCTATGTTTCCACCGCTGCCTGTGGAAATGTCAGCCGAGCAAAAGGCCGAGGTCATGCAAGTGATGCTGGGCATTGTAGTAGGCCCCCTAATGGCCTTTTCAAGCAAGGAAAGGTATGTCGTCATGCTACCATATGGCTATGTGTCGATGTGGAGCATGCATGACCGGGCATTGTTGTCGCATGGACTGTTTGGGCGTTTATAACATGGTGTAATATTGTGCTGCTCGCAGTGGCGGGATCAAAGTGCAAGACGCAGTGGGCGTGGAGATGACAGTTCATCCGTTGCTGGCGGACTACGTGTGTGACCACCCAGAGTCGTCTGTTGTCACATGCACGATGGCGGCGACTGCACTGCAGCCGTGCTCAATGTGTACAGTGGGATGGTGGGATTTGAACAAGGTTTCCGAGACCTTCCAACCACGGACGGTAGAAGGGCAGCGGGAGGTTTTTGAGCTGATGCAGGAGAGCACTCCCGAGTATCGTGAACATGTGAAGACGGCATTCTCGACCCACTACGCTGCTGTAAGTGGACGTCTCCACATATCGATTCTGCATCGGGGATTGTTCGCGTATATTGGTGTTGTGTATTCCCCCCGTTGAGTGTGGGTAAGCTTGTGCCGAACTTGTGTGCAGTGTGCTCTATGGGACTGGGCGTATGTCGATACGCCATGGGGTAATCTGTACGAGGCCATTGGTATTTGTATCTTACATGTGGTGGATGAGGGTCTCTGGGTGCACACAATGAAGTGCATCTTGGGGAGACTTACGCCCAGTTTACGCGCGGAGCTTTTGAGGTGTGTGTGGTTGGTGGAGCATATGCGTTTTCCGTCTTTCAGAAATCCCCTAACACACTGCGCCATACAATGCTGCATAGATACGGCCGTAGTGCTAATCGTGCCATTATGCCATCCGCCACCCGGCGGGTGATATATGCAGGCGTTGCCGGGCTGTTCTGGTGGAGACCCCGGCCTCGCTCCTGAGGGCTCCAGACCCCTCGTACTACTTCCGTATTGTGGCACAGTACGCGGCATGGGAACACCGGGCAATGATGCAGATTGTTCCCCTCATCACGCACCTCCCCGGGTACGAGGACATTGGAGAGGCGACCGTTATGTTCAGTGAATGGTACAAGGCTTACTTCCGTGTGGAGTACCACACTGATCAGTCTCTTGCGGCCATGGTCACCATGACAGAGAGGTGAGACCACATACCCTTGGAGGCTGATGTTGGCTCACTCGTTTGAGTGTCATTTATAACATGGCAGTTTTCAATGGCACAGTACGCTCGCAGTTTGTTTCTCTGTTATGCTCACTACTAAGCTACACCCGCGTGCGATTCTTTCCAACCATTGGGGGTATTGCAAGTCATGACGCCACGTGCTTGTGTCTGGGCCAGGCTCATCGCTAAGCTCGTTGCCGTGTTCCCGAATCAGAAGTCAGGATTCCTCATCGTGAAGGTACACCAACTGTCTCACCTCCCCGCCTCCATTGTGATGCGAGGCATGCCCAATGAGTACTCTACCAACATGTATGAGGCGAAGCATAAGATCTCGGTGAAATGTCACGCTAAGAACACAAACTGGAGAGACGTAACGCGCGACATTGCGGTGAAGCACTCACGGATGGCAGCCATTAGAGGGCTGGTGCGTGGCGAGGGTGGCACCCGGGTGTACAAGACCGCAATGCGCCTGGTAAGTCTCTTCTTAAAACTGTTTGTGAAGCCATATCGTGCTCGTTGGCCTTGTTCTGGCCTGAAATTGAGGCCCCTTTAGTTTGTATCAACCCTGCTGTGTGGGACAGAGTATTTTCATGCCATGTTTGCTTAAACTGTAACTTGAACCAGGCGGTGGAGCACAACATCCGTGTCCTCACCAAACGAAGTCGTCGCATGGAGGTCAACGTCGACATGGATCCTGTGTGGTCGGAGTTCCGTGATGCACTCGGGCCCGATGTCATGGCAAGAGCGGTGGAGGTGATGAGAGCAGTGGGCATTGATGCAGATACGGTGCAGGTGAGTCATTTCATTAGTTGGTTCCTCCAACCACCCCGCTAGTCGCACCCGTTGCAACATTGATTTGGTATGCAGAAATACTTGGGCACACGAAGTCAGGCGTGAGTCTTACCCTTGTGCATATGCGATTACGTGCAGGTTCACACTGCGCTGGCCATCCCCCCGCACGACCGGATGGAACGAGGAGTTTTGGGTCATGTTATAAAGGCGTCGCCGGCAGAGCAAAAGTTCAGCCATGTGCAGATAGAAGGGCAGGGTGGGGTGTGGTATGGGAGATGCCTCATGCTCTTTCACTTCACTGATGCTAGTCAGCAAGTCATCCGACGTGCACTAGTCAAGTACTACACGGAGCTGGACACCCCATGCCCTATCACAGGATGTCGAAGGCTTCGGCTGACCACTGGGAGAGATGATTACGCGGTGTTGGAAGTAGACAGCATTCTTGGTCTAGCACACATCGTATCGAGCTTCACACAGCCAGATATATCACTTGTCAACCGGTTTTTGTTTTAGGGTTTAGAGCTGTAACTTGTGAGACCCACCATCCAAGGGGGCTAAACCCTTGTGCTAAGCCCAATGGACGGAACTGAACGATAACCCGAAATCTGTGTAGGTGGTTGAGATTGCATGCTGAGTATTTGTGTGCTTTGTAGAGCGGAATGAATCGTTGAGGTGCCGGACAGGTGGACTTTACCCTTGATCTTTAGTCATGACATGATGTATTGTTTTTCTAGGCAGGCAATGTAGTTGCAAGACAGATTACAGCACAAGTCATGTTCGGGACAGGTTGTTATGGGGCACAAAGCCTCCTATAGGCGGAAATGTCTCGAAAGTGTCTTGCAGGACGGTTTCGGGACAGATTCTCGACAGATGTGAGACAGAATGGTTTTGGGACAGATTGAGGACCGAGCAATTTTGGTGATGAACGAGGAATGTGTGCACTAGGAAACAGATGGGTACAAGTAGGAAAACCTAAAAGTGTTGTACCCCACATTGTCTACCCCACTACAGCCTACACAGACTATAGCATATAAGTTTGACACACACCCATAGGCAAAGTGGGGGAGAACAAGAGGTCACAAGACCAGTCAAGCAAAGCACAGTAAGCTCAGGGTGGATCACAATATCACCACACATTCCGAGCACAATTTCAAGGCCACAAGGCTAGTTCGCATGCAAGATCATATATAAAGGCAAAGAAGCAAGTGCAGGTATAGATAGATTACAGTACAAGAAAGGTCAAGAAGTGAGCAAGTGAGGCCAAGTAGGCACAAGACCTAGCATCGTACAGAAGCGCTGATGATCACAAGGCGGAAGTGCCTTGGTGAAGATATCAGCAGTGTTGGCCTCAGAGGTCACGTAAGCAAGGCGTAGTTGACCACGCTGCTGCAGCTCACAAGCAAGGAAGTAGCGAAGAGCAATGTGCTTCGTTTTGTGCTCCAGTCTGTGCTCCCGACACAAGGCCAGCATGGCCTTGTTGTCTACGTACAGAACTGGAGCAGAACGAGGCGGCTCTCCCAGGTCGGTCAGCAGGTAGGTGAGCCAGCGTAGCTCCTGTGCAGCCATGGCCCCCGCGTAGATCTCAGCCTCACAGCTAGAGCCGAGAACAGAAGACGAGCGGGTAGACCGCCACGAAACAGAGCCGGAACCAAGGCTGAAGGTGTAACCCTGTGACGACCGCTGCGTAGCATGGTCGTCAGCCCAAGAAGCGTCTGCGTGACCTGTGAGGACCACTGAACGCCGCCCTCCAAGCACTAGCCCCATGCCCGACGTACTGCACAAGTAGCGCAACACCCTCTTCGCTGCAGCCATGTGCTCTGGTCGGTGTCTCCCAGGAGCAACATAGCGTGCCAAGATGCTAAGAGGGTATGCAAGGTCAGGTCGAGTGCAGGTCATCAGGTACATGAGGCAGCCAACAAGCTCTGGGTACGGGCCACTCGGCTCTACGGACTCATCCGAAGGAAGAGCTGAGAGCGAGTGGCGAGTAGACAGAGGAGTGGCCTGAGGCGAGGAGTACGTGAAGTCGAAGCGCTGAAGGACCTGCTGCACCATGTGTGACTGAGTCAGGGTAATGGTGCGCTGTGCTCTGTCCCGGGTGATCTGCAAGCCAAGGTAGCTGCGCAGCTCACCCAAGTCTGTGCACGTGTGTCTCTTCTGCAGCTCGGACTTCACGTGGGCGAGTCCAGCAGTGTCAGCTGTGGCAAAGACCAAGTCGTCGACGTACACGAGGATGTAGAACGGCGGCAAAGAGGTGTCGGTGCGCAGAAACAGTGACGGGTCGGCTGTAGAAGGAGCAAACCGAAGAGCCGCAAGTGCAGTCCTCAGTGTGTCGTGCCACTCACGGGGCGCCTGGCGAAGACCGTAGACTGGCCGCCGGAGGCTCCACTGGGTACCAGGAGGAAACGACCCAGTGAAGCCAGGTGGGCGGCGCAGCCAGATCTCCTCGTGCAGGCTGCCCTGCGGGAAAGCTGTGCTGAAGTCAAGAGAGTGAAGCTCGTAGTCGCGCTGAGCGGCTATGTGCAGCAGCACCCGAAGAGTGGTCATCTTCGGGGTGGGAGAGAAGGTCTGAAAGTAGTCAACTCCCTGCCGCTGACTGAAGCCTCAAGCCACGTAACGCGCCTTGAAGACAGGCGGAGAACCCGACGGTCGCTTCACCCTGAAAATCCACATGCCACTGACGATGTTCGCCCCTGGTGGGGGAACCTCGTCGACGTAGGTGCCTGTGGACTTCCAGGAAGCCATCTCTGCGTCCTCGGCTGACTGCCACTGTGAGGAGTAGGGACCCTCGATCGCCTCAGCGTACGATCGAGGAGTCGGGATGTGTGTTGCATCCGGGTCTCCCTCAGGGGCAATCAGCGTGGACACGAGATGAGGCAAAGCAGCAGCAAAACACTGGAACTCCTCTTGCCTGTCCTCAAGGACGTTCGTGCTAAGAGCACACTCACCCCCGACGGACGGAGGACACACAGACTCAGACTCAGCAACCAGACTAGCGGCGTAGTCTAGACGACAGCGCGCAGCAATGTCGACAAGCTCAGCAACTAAGGCAGACGCAGCAGTGGACTCAAAGGAAGGGTCAGTGACAATAGTAGCCAGGAGACGCGTGACAGTAGGACTGGCAGCACGAAGAGAGTCAGACTCCAGGTCAGCAAGAACAGGAAGAGAGGACTCAGGAGGAGACGGCAACGGGACACGCAAAGGAGCAGTGGAAGGACGCAGTGCCACCTGGTGTGTGCCTGGGACCACAGGAAGACGCGGACGCGGAACACGACTACTAGTGCGAGCAGCACGAACAGGCGATGCAGGAAGAGACGCAGGCTCACGATGCTCAGCAAGACCTCCAGTAGGACCACTGTAAGGAGAAGGAGCAGGCAGGGGGGAGGCAGGCTGTAACTGTGACTGCGACTGGACAGGCGGTGGACACTTTAAGGGAGGAGTAGGACCAGTAGAAGGCGGGAGACCAAGAACCTGCTCAAGGAGCGGAACGAAGTACGACCGCGGCCGCGCAGTGCCTCCAGAACCAGCAGGGACAGCACCAGTACCACTAGCGGCAGCACCAGCGCCAGCAGCACCTCCAGCTCCAACAGCGCCAACTCCAGCACCCTCAGAAGCACCAGCGCCAACAGCACCTCCAGCGCCAACACCCCCAGCAGCTCCAGCTCCAGCAGCTGCAGCTCCAGCAGCTTTAGCAGCACCAACTCCAGCAGGACCGCCAGCTCCAGTACCGCTAGCAGCTCCAGCACCAGGAGCACCTCCAGGCCCAGTAGCTCCAGTACCTCCAGGACCTCCAGCAGCACCAGGAGCACCCCCAGGCCCAGCAGCTCCAGTACCGCCAGTGCCAACCAGACGACCAGTAGCACCTCCAGCTCCAGCAGCACGGCTCCAGCGCCGGGCAAACCACTCGCGCAGCTCCTCTGAAGAGGGTAGCTCCCGCCTCGACGAAGCACCGGAAGGGCCCCCAAACCCAGCACCTCCAGAGGCCACACGAGCAGACCCAGCACCCCCAGGCTCTGCACCCCAAGGCTCAGCACCCCCAGACTCAGCACCCCATGACTCAGCACCCCCTAGCTCAGCACCCCTAGCAGCACCACAGTCAACAGCTACCTCGACAGGCTCGACTACGTCTACCTGGGACACACCTGACGGGGCAGGACCCTGAGGGGGGAGAGGGTCTACCGGGGGGGGACCTGGCGCAAGGAAGAGCGGCGGCGGGGGGAGGGGCGCAGTGCGGTAGGGGAAGAGACGGTAGTAAGGCACCGACTCGTCAAAGGTGACGTCCTGGGAGGACAGAACACGGCGCGAGGTGGGGTGGTAAAACTGGCAACTAGGCGCGTCAGGGGGGAAGCCAAGGAAGATGAAGGGAATAGCACGGGGGGACAGCTTGTCCGCAGACAAGTCGCGGACAAACGCCCGAGATCCCCAGACACAAAACGCAGACGCATCGCCAACCTTCCCCATCCACCGCAGGGTGGGGGAGGTCTCTGGCAAAGAGACCCGGGGCTGAAGGTTGATCTGATGCGCTGCGTACTGAACCGCAAACGCCCACAGAAAATGGGGAGCAGCTGTATGGATCATAGACGTACGAGCGACGTCCATGACCATGCCAATGCGGCGCTCAGCAATCCCATTTTGCTGTGGAGAGGCCAGAAGCGTGAAGGTCTGGCGGATGCCCTGTGCACGACCAAAGGCTCCCAGAAGGGCAGAGGAAAACTCCCCGCCTCTGTCAGAGTGCAGACGCAGAACAGGAAAGTCCTAGCCGAAACTCTCTTTGAGCTGGAGACGAGCTGCGCGGATCCAGTCGATCAACACCTCAGTGACGTCACCCTTGCTGCCCAAGGGGAAGACTGTGGTGTAACGCGAGTAGTCGTCAACCACCAACAGGAAGTAACGCTCGTGACCCTGGCCACGGACGCGGGCGGGGCCCCACACGTCCATGTGAAGAGTCTGCAGCGGAGCCTCTGTCGGAGGAAACTCGGAGGAGTGAGGGGCGGCGCGTTGTTGCCCGTCGACGCAAGGAACGCAGGTAGGGGCAGGCCCCGGAGGGAGGGGAGGGAGGGACCGGGGGAAACCAGAGACAAGGTAACGGGAGGCCATGCCTCGGAGACGAGGCAGGGAGGGGTGACCAAGGTGGTGGTGCCAGAGGAGAGTCTGGTGGGACGGGAGACGACACGAGCAGGGAGCAGACTCAGGACCAGACCTGGACGCTGCAGCAAACACCTGACCCGATGGAGCTACCTGACTAGACGCAGCAGCCGGAGGAGACTCAGTAGTCAGTGTGTACAGGCTCGACCCCGGCTGACGGGTAAACGTGGCAAACTGTCGGCCCGTCTGAGCACACATACAGTGGGTCACCCGCTGACTCGCAGGAGTGAACTGGTCAACCCCCCCATCCTGTAGATCAGCACCACTCACCAAGTTCGTAGAGAACGAGGGGAGGTAGAGACCAGACAGGGTGCCAGAGGGGGCCGTCGGACACGGTAAGACAGTGGAGAGGTGGGCAAGGACAGGACCCCCAGAGGGGTCCGCCAGGGAGACCACAACTGGCCGACTAAGCGGCGTAAGCGTGGTGCGGTCTCGAAAGAAGGAGCGGGAAGCACCCGAGTCAAGTGTGAAGGTGTGTAAGGCCTGAGCCGACGTGGTACCTGAGAGAGCAGACGCACCAGTACCTGGGGCAGCAGACTCACCAGCACCTGGAGCAGCAGACGCACTTGCACCTAGAGCAGCAACCTCACCAGCACCTAGAGCAGTAGTCTCAATGCCCGGGTCAAGCGGAACACACAGGTAACAGTCACCCTCATCACTAGTAGGCAATGTATACATGGCAGTGAGGATAGCATCATAGTCAAGAGTATAGATATCTACCCTCAGCCTAAGCAGCTCCACCTATTCGGGGAGCTCAGCCGCGTCGCCAAACTCCGTACGCCAGGCGTCGCTCAGACGAGCGAAGCAGCGGGACTCTGCGTGACCAAACGTCCCGCAAGGCTGACCAATCCGAGCACCAGTGCGAATGACGTACGGACAGCGAGCAGTACCCCGTGACTCGTCACGCTGAGCGTACCACTCACGAAGCTGCTGGAGCGAAAGGACCGCGCACGTACGACGCTGCAGCTGCACCTGGCCACGACAAGCAGCCGCCGAACTGCTCACTCCAGGACGACTCCCACTACGGTCACCCCGACAACCCAAAGTAGCGTACCACTCACGAAGCTGCTCGGGCGTGAGGGACTCACGCGGACGTCGCTGGAGCTGAATCTGGCCACCGCTAGGAGCAGCAGGAGCAGTGGTAGCCGCAGTAGCAGCAGCAGTAGCAATTGCAGTATTCGCAGCGCGGCCACCCCTACAACCCCAACTAGCGTACCACTCACAAAGCTGTTGGGGGGCGAGGAACTCACGCGGACGGCGCTGGAGCTGCATCTGGCCACGCCAGGAGCAGTAGTAGCAGTAGAAAGAGCAGTAGCAGCAAGAGCAGCAGTAACAGCAGTACGGGCAGGGCAGTGCTCACTAGTGGCGAGAAGGGCAGGCGTACGACGGCGGCAATGGCGAGACCGCTACCACTGTAGGCCGAGGGCTCCGCGGCAGCTGCAGGGGTGGCTGCTCCAGAGGCGGCTGCTGCAGGGGCGGCTACTGCACGGGCGGCTGCTCCAAGGGCGGCTGCTGCAGTGGCGGCTGCTCCAGGGGCGGCTGCTGCAGGGGCGGCTGCTCCAGGGGCGGCTGCTGCAGTGGCGGCTGCTCCAGGGGCGGCTGCTTCAGGGGCGGCTGTTTCAGGGGCGGCTGCTGCAGGGGAGGCTGCTCCAGGGGCGGCTGCTGCAGTGGCGGCTGCTCCAGGGGCGGCTGCTGCAGGGGCGGCTGCTCTAGGGGCGGCTGCTGCAGGGGTGGCTGCTCCAGGGGCGGCTGCTGCAGCGGCGGTTGCTCCAGGGGCGGCTGCTTCAGGGGCGGCTGCTCCAGGGGCGGCTGCTGCAGAGGAGGCTGCTCCAGGGGCGGCTGCTGCAGTGGCGGCTGCTCCAGGGGCAGCTGCTGCAGTGGCGGCTGCTCCAGGGCGCGGGTTAGGGCAGGGCGCCGCGGCGGGTAGGGGTGACGCCACGCGGGTCCAGTAGGGGCGTCGCGACGCACAGGAGCGCGCCTCGCGGGTCCCGCAGGGGCGACGCGACGAGGCGGGGGCGACGCGGCGGGGCCGCGACCGGCAACGGGGCGGGGCCGTGACTGGCGACGGGGCGGGGCCGCGACTGGCGACAGGGCGGGGCCGCTACGGGCAGCGGGGCGGGGCCGCGAAGGGGCCGCGAAGGGAGCCGCAAGGGGGCCGCGAGGGGGCTGTGAAGGGGCCGCGAAGGGGCCGCGAAGGGGCCGTGAAGGGGCCGCGAAGGGGCCGCGAAGGGTCCGCGAGGGGGCCGCGAAGGTGCCGCGAAGGGGCCGTGAAGGGGCCGTGAGAGGCCGTGAGAGGGGCCGCTACGGGGCCATAAGGGAGCGCGACGGGCCACTAAGGGCAGGGGACGCGACGGGAGGGTAGGCACACGGGGCGCGACTTGGGCAGGGGCGAAGCGCGCTCCGGGCAGGAAAAAAAATCGATATTCGGTGGGCCCTAGGAAACGTTCCCACTAGGGAACCTGCTCTATACCATGTGAAAGAACGAGGAATGTGTGCACTAGGAAACAGGTGGGTACAAGTAGGAAAACCTAAAAGTGTTGTACCCCATATTGTCTACCCCACTACAGTCTACACAGACCATAGCATATAAGTTTGACACGATGCATTATCCATGAGCACGACAATTTGGCGTCCCTGAGCGTAGCATGTCGTGTTGACGTTCTCCATGAATGTCCTGAAGGGCTGGGGGGCACAAAATGACACGTGAATTAGCAGTAGTTGTACGACATAATCACCGCACGGATGCAAAATGCGTATGTAAAGAGCGGAATGCGAATCCATATATTTGAAGGGGCTCACCTCAGTGTTCATCCAGCCTTTACGATTCCACCTCCATTTCACATGGTATTCGACGTTGAAATCGCGACCAAAATCCCTAGGCCTCTGCACTTTTGCTATCACAAGAGGCCTCCACATGTTGAAGCCGTCTGCATTGCACAGCAGTGCAACGGTGAGGCGTTCCTTGCAACCCTTGCCGCCTGCAAGCGTTTCACGTGCATGAGTCCGTCGTGGAATTTGAGCCGGGTAGAGAGCAGTTTCGTCAAAGTTGTAGCAATCTTCTAGAGTGATTCGAAGCCGGAGTAGAAGTTGTGGCAGCTTCTCACGGCACGCATCAACTGCTTCCATATCAGCAGATCCTGCTTCTCCCTTGCGCATGAGACATTTCAGGCCCATCCTCTTAAGTGTCCGCACCACCCATCCGATAGAACACTTGAAGGATGGAGGGATGTCGGGCATCTCTCGTGCAAGCTGCTTGGCGCGGAGTTGAATTACTGCGAGAGTCAATGGTAAGCCCTCAGCAGCTGCTGAATTAATCCAGCAGCATAAACGCAGCTCTAAACCAGGGTAGAGTGCCTTGCGAACGCGTCTCTCGTTGGCGTTCTCATCTCCCCGATCCTGCAGCCATTCTGCCTTGACTTGCAACACCCTGGTTATGGTTGTGCGCGACGGTACGACATTGAATTTCTTTGCAGTCCACTCGCAAAGGTCCTCGTGCGTTAGTGTCTTGTTGGCTTGCTGATGCAGACAGATTGCCCGTTTCATGTAGCGAGTGAGAGAAACGCGAGCCATTGTGTGGCGCAAGCCTCTCTGGCTGTTGCAGTGTAAGAGTCGCTCAATTCTTATCGGTGTTCAATGTCGCATGCCGAGTCGCCATTGTCGAATGGATTGGAATTGCGACGGATTTCTCCGATTTCAATTTCCGAGTTTACATTTCGGGTTTGACGTAGCAGGCTGGCGTTGTGGATTACCACACGTGGCACGGATGCATCAGTGGGATAATAACGTTTGACAAAATTGAATGGACCAGTCTCTGGCGTTGCATGTGGATTTTCGACACCTCAGCTGCTGGGTTTGCTACGATTTCGTACGTGTTCACGGCTGTCCAGATGCAGCCTCACTTTCTGGCCGGTCAAAGTCAAGGGCAGTCACAACCAAGTTGGCAGAGCTGATTGTGCGTGAACACAATGTGCTAGCACCATTCTGGGATTGGTGCAGTCACACAAAGCGATGGGTTCATATGGCGGATGTCAGTGTGGCACGAAACAGGGTGTACGCACTGCAAAGGCATTTTGCGACAAGGGTAAATTCCTCCATTTTGAAGGTCTCTGCTCGTGGAAGTTGCTTTTGTGATGGTTCCTCCACCTTATCCACAAGCGTGTGTTGGGAGCGTATCTGTGGCTTATAGCAGCTCTGTTGTCATACTACGGCCTGCTGCTGGCTCTTCGCCTGCTCTTACAGTACACCTGATGCTCGTTTGAGTTCTCCCTACTTGGGTTGTGCTCTGGGCTTATAAACATTTTGAACATTTCGCCCAGTTCGTTTTATTTCGCCAGGGTGTTGATGTGCTTCTAAAAAACACAGGTTGTAACTCGTTTGTTTTTTCCAAAACAATGTTGGTGGGCCTGTGTTGTTGTTAGTTCAGGGTTTAGGGTTTATGTCTGTTTCTGGCCAAGAAACAAGAACAAACCGGGTCAGCATGGTTTGTTTTGCGCCTAGGATTCATACTTTGGCGTTTTCTCGCCCATATGCAAGTTGATCCGCGTGCATATACCCTCGGTGCAACTGACTGGGAAAAAAAGCACGAGTGCAGAGTTTCTGAAAAGGGAAAGGCAAATTCACGCGCAGTGGCTGGGCATCATGTGTACTTCATTGAGAGCAGGGCTGGTTGTCTCCAACGATAACTGATGTTAGGGCGCGTAACCATTTTGCATTTTACGTTTTCGACGGACAGTCCGCTTAGAACGAAGCGGACGGTTCTATTCTCGAAAACGGGACCGTCCGAATCAAAATTTTGCAACTTCGGACTGTCCAAAGGCTAATGTGACACTTTTTTGGTGTTGTTGATTTTTGCGACCACTGTAGCCTCGTTAGAGGCCTTGTAAGGATTTACAGAATCCTTACTGAGGCACTCGTTAGCGAGGCCATCCCGAGGGTCACGCGACGAACCTGTCCTTCCTATTTCGTCGCACCGAACCACTCCCGAGTCGCCTCCGCTCCAATCGCAACCATCACCGAGCCATCCTCGCCCAACCTCTCCGCCTAGCTAGGACTTCCCCTATTTAGTCGTACCTTTCTCATTGTACCTCGTCATTCAGTAATTCAGTTATCAGTCATTCTCGTTATTCGTTTTACTGCGCACTCTGCAAGTTCATTCATAACAGGCCTTGTATATTCGTAACTTACCTCGCGACATTTACGGTATTAGCTTCGTTGGCGAATCGGTATGATTTACTGTACATTAAAATTCGCCCACCAATACCTAGCCAGAAATGGTGGACCGTCCGTTTGGGTTTCGGACAGTCCACGGTTCACAAAGCGGAGTGTTGGAAATGTGAAAAAGTGTCACGACAGTCCGTTAGGTTGGCGACGTCGCCAACACCTCCGCGAAGACCTAAACGATAATCAGCGAATCTAGTTACATTTCGCCACGACGGACCGTCCGCAGCTCGAGCCGTCGGGTGCAAAATGGTTACGCGCCCTTAGGTGAGAGTTTTACTCTAGGTGGCAAACGTTTTTTTGTAAATTACGGTTGATGGCAGTTGTTCCATCTGAGGACAAAAAGTTATTGACAGAGAGACATGGAGGAGGTGGAACTGATTTCGTACATAGGTATCGCGAAGGACGGCGCGATTATAGCGGAGTATGGCAGGGAAGCTGACGTCTTTCGAGATCCTATGTGTAGCGCATTTTCCGCCATTCCTGCGCATGTCTCCCAGTATTCTCTGGTACGTGGCTTGATTTGGTGGACCCTCATAATGACTTGTGAGGTATCTCAAAGGTCGTCTTTATACCCGCGATTCTGTTGACCCTCGAAACACGGGTTTCCTTTGGTGCATGGCTGGAGTCAAACGTGCTACTCTTTTAGTTTGCGTTACAATGCGAGACTCAGGCGTTTTGATGGGACTCGAATGGTAAGCCTGCTTGGTGTTCATAGGCATAGATTCTAAATATAAACGACGATACGATCAACTTTCCTTTCTTTATCTTTTCTTTTCTCAACATCTGTGTTCGTCGGTAAACCCTTTGGTAAAGTTTGTAATGCTTTTTCATTATTATTACCTTTTATTCCATTCGGTAAAGCATCGGATTGGCTTTCTTTTTTCCTTCCCTGCCAAACTCGTTTACGTGAGAGAGGAGGCTATCCATCCCTCACCTTCCTCCGTTTGTTGATTTTATTTATTTTTTCGGTCAATTTCCTGCTCGCAGGGTCACGGGACCCTCTTGGTCTTGTTCCAGCGATGGTCGTCCGGCCTTGTCTGCTACCTCATCGGTTACCACCCGTTCGCGAAAGACCAGGCTTGTTCGCTACTCGCCATCCTGCACAGAGCCTTTTACAAGGAGATTCTCTCAGCAAGCGGGGATGCTAGTAACGAAATCCTCGTTGGTAGCAGCCTCATCAGCACCTCAGAAGGTTCCTCTGGTATAGCGGAAAGCTCGGACGATGGCGACGCGGAAACAGGGATCTTGTCAGCCACGTCGTCGTCGCTTGCCACGTCGACGTCGCGTGCCACGTCAGACACGACCGTTGGCGACGGCGACGTGTTTAAGGACGTCCATAAACCCGCTCCGAAAGAACTGTCGGGCGAGATTCTCGAAGCCATCAGCCAATCCATGGCATCCACGTCAGCGCGCTATCGTGGCGTGGCGGGTAGTGGCCTACCCTCCTTAGATCCCTATCCCGACGCGCCCGATGCGTACTTTACTTCCGTTCAGGAGCCGCCGCCTCTGCCCGGGAGTGATGGAGATAGTAGTAGCGAGGATGAAGACGAAGCGGCGGGAGTGGCGAGGAGGCGGAGAGAGCGGGAGAGAAGGAAGGAGGAGAGGGAGAGGAGGGAGAAGAAGGGGCAGGAAGGCGGGGCGGAAGGGGCGACGGCGGATGAGGGGAGCGGGGAAGGGGGGGGCGAGAAGCCGGAGGGCGTTACGTATGAGGAAACTAGGGTTGGAGCAGAAAGGGGTGAAGGAGGGGAGAAAATAATTGTAGCAACAGCAACAGCAACAGCAGCAGCAGCAGCAGCAGCAGCAGCAGCAGCAGCAGCAGCAGCAGCAGCAGCAGCAACCGCACCAATGACATTAGCAGCTGCAGCACGAGACAGCCAGTCAGTAGACATCTCGGTCGGGGTCCGGGAACTCCCGAGCCTGGCCCCGAACCTCCCGCCGTGGCTCGGCACCCCGCTGATGGCCGAGGCAGCGGGAGGTTCGGCCGCGGCGGCGGCGGCGGCGGCGGCGGAGTGCGCGTCCCCCGACATTGGTCGGTGGCGGGAGACGCGGATTAAGGAGAAACAGCGCGCCGGCGGCGGGCTGGGGGGGGGGCTAGTAGCGGGGATGAGTGAGGAGAGAAAGCAGAGCGAGGTGGGAAACAAGAGTGAGCAGCAGCAGCAGCAGTCGGGGGAGCAAGGGCAGGGGCAGGGGGAGCAGGAACAGAGGCAGGGGCAGGGGCAAGAGGGGGAAGGTGCTGAGTTGGGCCCTTCGGGTTCGTTCTCCTACTCGGATGACACGAAACAGGAGCAGGAGCAGGGGCACCAGCAGGGGCAGCAGGGGCAGCAAGAACAGGGACAGGGACAGGGACAGGGACAGCAGGGGCAAGAAGGTTCTGAGGGGCTGGAGGTGGAAATACTGGGAGCTGATTCGTTGGGCGACGCACAGTTGGAGCTTCAGCCGCAGAAGCAGCAGCAGCAGCAGCAGCAGCAGCAGCAGCAGCAGCAGCAGCAGCAGCAGCAGCAGCAGCAGCAGCAGCAGCAGCAGCAGCAGCAGCAGCAGCAGCAGCAGCAGCAGCAGCAGCAGCAGCAGCAGCAGCAGCAGCAGCAGCAGCAGCAGCAGCAGCAGCAGCAGCAGCAGCAGCAGCAGCAGTCACAACAGTCACAGCAGTCGAGTATCTGGAGCCGCTTCTCTGGGCGAGCGCCTTCCCCGTCCCGCATGCTGCGCCGAGCTCTCACTCCCCCTCGTTCCGCCCGCACCCCCCCGCGCTCCTCCCCCACTCCCCCCCGTTCCACCCCCACGCCCCCCCGCTCCCCAACGCCCCCTCACTCCCCCACCGCCCCCCGCTCCCAGACCCTTCCCTTCCCCGTAACGCCCCCAAGGTCCCCCAGTCACGGGGTGTCCGCGGGAAAGGGGGCGCAGGGGGAAGGGGAGAAAGCAGGGTGGCGCAGGCGGCGGAAGAGTGAAGGGGGAGGCGGAACTGGGGGGTGGGCGGAGGGTCTGGGCGAAGAGGTGGGGGGGGTGAGCGGGCGGAGCAGCAGCAACAGCGCCGGTGGCGGTGAGAATGGTATAGCTCCTGCTGATGCTGGTACTGATGCTACTGCTGCTGCTGCTGCTGCTGCTGCTGCTGCTGATCTTGACACAGCCACTGCCGAGGCCAATCCACGCTATGCCATGAATCGCAGCAGCAGCACGGACGGAATCGCAGCTCGCTCCACCACCACCACTGGCAGCACCACCGGCATCAGCGCCAGCGCCAGCAACAGCAACAGCAACAGCGGCGGCGGCGGCGGCGGCGGCACAAGGATGGGGCGGTTCATGCGTTGGTTCCCCAGAAAGTCCACCTCAACCTCCTCCTCACCCATGCCCTTGTCTTCCAAGCCTATGCCTTCCGAGCCTTTGCCTTCCGAGCCTATGTCTTCCGAGCCTTTGCCTTCCGAGCCATTGCTTTCCGAGCCTTTTGAGCCATCGCAAACCTCTGCTACGTCCGCTCTGCCACGCGACCCCACACTCGCGCCCACTCCCTCTCTCTCCACCAACCCGCCTTCCGCTGACCCTCGTTCCGCTCACCCTCCTGCTCTTAGCATCCCTACTGATGGAGTTTCGCCTGTAGCTGAGTCCTCTCACGCAGCTGGTACAGCTGCATCTGTAGCGGCTGTAGCAGCTTCCAGCCAATCAGCAGCGACAGCCTCTGATAGGGCCCATCCACTTGGCACTCCAGTCTCGCCACGTCAGCCGCAAGCCAAGGAGGACTACCCAGCCCCTCCTCCTTCCGAACCTGAGTCCGAACCTGTTTCCGAACCTCCATCCGAACCAGCTTCGGAACACCCTTCCGAGCCTGTTTCCGAGCCTGCAATGGGGTCAGGCAGGGGGGAGAAAGAGTACCACCCACGTATTCCCAAATCAGACAGTAATGATGGGAGAAGAGGGGTTTTAGTGACTATAAAGGGCCCTCCGTTTCCTGTTTTTTGCACTACTGGGGATACTGTAGATTCGCCTGATTATGACGCAGCCGATGCTAACACAGGTTTCACAGCAGCATCGGGGAATTCTGGTCCGGTATCAGGCTCGGCGGAAGGTCCGGCAGATGGCTCGGGTGGAGCAGGGAGAGCTCGAAGGAGGTTCGGTGTTTTCCGAAGCGCGTCGACGACTGGTTCGGCAACGGGAGGAGGAGGCGAGTTTCGAGAGTATAAGACCTTTAAGGAGCATCTTATGGACAAGCACAAATCGCAGCAGAAAGAGCCGCGCGATAAGGGGGATAAGGAGCAGAAGGAGAAAAGGGAGAAAAGGGAGAAGAAGGAGAAGAAAGCAGAGGAAAGTCATAGCAGAGGAGAAGGGCAGCCTCGGGAGCCCAGGGAGAAAAAAGTCCTAGGTCTTGGGCTAGGCCTTGGCCTCCCATCGCTCTCCACCTCGCCTTCCCCCTCCCCATCCACCCCCTCATACCCCTCCTCTTTATCACACTCTTCCGATTCGCGCCTCCCTCTCACGCCGCCCACACGATCCCCCATCCGTTCCCCGATCTCACACTCCTCCCCTCTCTCCGCGTCCACCACTCCCGGGCGACACAGCCACCTCAGCACAGGCACCAGCAGCAGCAGCCACAGCCCAAACAGTGGCTCGGGATCAGGTTCAGCGTCAGGTTCGGGAACAGGCTCGTTCCAGTTTATCAACCAGTCGATAGGTGCGGCCCAGCGTGCTCACAGGCTGGCGGCTCACTCCATCCGCGTTATAGGGCCCAAGAGGCTGGCCGCTGCTGTTGCAGCTGCCAAGCAGAAGCAGCATCAGCAGGAGCGTGAGCAGGAACAGGGGCAGGGAAAGGAGCAGATGAAGCAGGAGAAGGAGCAGGAGCAGGAACAGAAGGAAGGGCAGCATCAGGAACAAAAGCAGCTGGAAGAGGAGCAGCAGCAGAAGCAGAAGCACAAGCGCCGATACAGCCTGAATGATGGGGAGAACGTGAAGGGGCCAGGACTGGTCGGAGAGAGTGGGGAGGGCTACGAGGGGAGTAAGGGAGCAGAGGGAGAGGAGAGGGGTGATGTAAGTAGAGATGGGGTAGGAGGAGCTGAGGAGGAGACAAAAGCAGGGGTACCAGTCGCAACAGCGGCAGAAATACCACCACCACCACCACCAGCAGCAGCAATAGCTCGCACAAGAAAAGGGCCACCAAAGTCGGCTCCTCTAGTCCTTCCACCCGACCCTTCAGAGGGGCATGCAGAGGGGCATGCAGAGGGGCCAGAACCATCACCCCACCTCGCAAGCCCAACCAACCTACTAGCCCAACAAACCCAACAAGCCCAACAAACTCAACTCACCTCCCCATCCACTTCCACCCACGTGCCCACCCACACACACTCTCTCTCCCCATCTCCGTCGCCCTCCCCGCGTTCTCGCAAGGCGCCAGGACCGGTGCAAACAACAGTGGAGGCGTGGGCGTGGCTGTTTGGTCGGGCGGTGTCGGCAGGGGGGATGGTAGGGGCGGGAATGCTGGGGAAGAAACAGGGGGGGCGCAAGGGGGGTGGTACAGGAGAAGGGGGAGAAGCGGAGGGGGAAGGGGCGGGGGAGGGTTCGGTGAAGAGTCGTGAGGGAGGGGGAGAGGTGAGGGTTGGAGGGGAGGGAGAGGAGGGAGGAGTAGAGGTAGGTTTGGAGCAGGGGAGAGAGAGTGTGGTAGAAGGTGTGGGTGCTGTAGGAAAGGGCGAATTGAATGGAGAAGAGGGGGTGGGGGAAGCAGGGGGGAGTGATGGGGGGACTGTGGAACCAAGTATGGTTGCCACAGCAACAGTTGCTTAGAGAATTTTGAGGTCGGGGTGTAAACATGTCGAGCTTGAGTTGTCTATTTGTGGAATCTGATGACTTGTAGATACAGTATAATCTGCTCGAGGAACTAACTGTCAGTCTTATCACGATCGCAGCTGGTTGTATCCCCAAGTTTGTGTGTGCTAATATGATATAGATTGTGTGTCCGGTTTAATGGCAAGATCTGTGCCTGTGTATTACGTAGCACTTTCTGTGGTATTTCATTTCTGTGTGAACGTCCAATGTATTCCACATGTGGGTCGTATTGCTCTCACCCTTGATTTAAAAAGATACTATGTACAGAAAATGCATGCTATCTGCCGGAATGTACCCACACTATAAGCAGACCTGCTCCAAGCGAGTACCCGTGCATCCTCCCAAACCAGTTCTTCCAAAACCCATAAGGTCCTCTCCCCGCAAGTGCCGCTGCACCCAGGGGTGAGTCAGCACCTTCGCAGCGGACGGTCGGCGCGCGGGGTCCTTTTGAAGCATACACATTATAAGCATCTTCGCTTCTGCAGACACTCCTTCCCAGGAACCGCCAGGGAAGCTAACATGCGCGTGCAGGATCGCCTCGAAAATTTCCAGGTTTGAGTTTCCCCAAAAAGGAGGGCGACCGCTTAGCATGACGAAGAGAAGAACACCCAGCGACCAGACATCCGCCGGGTAACCGTATTCGCCTGTTAGGACTTCGGGAGCAACGTATATTGGAGATCCCGCGGCGCCGCGAGCTACTTGGTGTGCTTCCAGCTCGATCGCGAGCCCAAAATCCGCGATTCTGACAGCGAGGAAGTCGGCGTCGCCCTCGTTACAGTCGGCTCCGTTACAAGCTCCATTCTCGCGTGAGAAAGCTGAGTTATTGGGAAAGCTTTCCAGGCTTAGAAGAATATTCTCCGGTTTCAAGTCGCGGTGCAGCACGCCACGCGAGTGGCAGAACTCGACACCAGATGCGAGCTGCCAGAGGACCAGCGCCGCTTCTTCCTCTGTCAACGAGCCGCGTTGGGCGATCACGCCGAAAAGCTCGCCCGCGCCGCACAGATCCATGACCAGGTGCACTGAATCTGCGTCCTCGAAAACTCCGCGAAGCTGCACCACGCATGGGTGGTCCGCGACTTTCTGCATCGTGCGAACCTCCCGCCGAAGCTTGTCCCGCGCGTCCTCCGACAAGAGTTGAAGCTTCGAGATGGACTTGCATGCGAAGGGTAACCCGGTTTCACGGTGTACGCAGCGGCGAACTGTACCGAATTGTCCCGAGCCGATTATTTCGGAGTCCACCTCAAAAGATGTCTCGATACAATGTACGGACGGCCCAAACACATTGTCCGCGAATGGCCTGCGCTCGTCGCGCTCGAGAAAAGTCGACGACGCGGATCGGGTGGCGATATTGGTCGCCGGTCGAGCACAGTCGCTGGACGAGTCGCACAAACGTAGCATTTTTTCGGAACGGAAACGTGGTGATTCGGACTCAGTACTAACGGCTGCATTCTTCCGCTTGCGTCCTGAGCACGTGGTGTGGGATTGGGATCGCGTCGCGCGGACCGTCATAGTTGCAGTGCACGCGGTCTCTGATTCTGAGAAAACCATGGCCGTGTTACTTCTTCTAAGCGTGTGAAAGTAGATATATGTTCACTATCTAGCTGAAACACTTTACGCCCTTCGCTGGATTCGCGGCTGGCAGAAGGAGCTTAATAAACGCGACTGAGGGTTGTTCGTGGTGAAGAAGGCAGCTACGTCACGTAATTAAATACTCAGAACTGAAAAGCCAGGGGACTAAAAACGGTAAACCTCGCTGCGCAGTAGCTGCCTGAGGACCAATCAACGCCCGAAGGGGCGAGGAGGCTGGAACTGTCTGGAGCTTCCTTGTGGATGGTGTGAGGGGCGAGAAGGAGGCGAGGAATGTCAATTCGCGAATGGTGGGCGACGATTGAGTGGGGAGGAGGCGACTGGCGAAAATAGGCGGGATAGTAGTTACCACATCCTTTACGAACGAATGGTTTGAGCTAAGTGTTGATTTCGCGAATCTTGATCAAGTGAGGCCAAGGATCACCGCCACATTGGCATTGATTCGGGCGCGATTCGTAGTGGTGCCTCATGCAATGGGTATCAATCAAATCCGACCTGATCTGCTTCGCTTCATTCCCAATAAAGAGTACAACCGAACTAAAACAAAGTATAACATTCTTCGCCCATCCTAACCGAAGTATGCAACCAGATGTTTGTTGATCTTGTTTGCAATGAGGTGTCGTTGTGATGTTGCGACTGGATGTCAGTGATGCACATCACTCCAATGTGACCTACAGATTGCAGTCGGACGTGGATCCGCTCTAGGGGATGGGCTGGGTTATTGGATGCAGAGGGAGAGCAAAAGAATCAGCACAACATGAAATGAAGATCCGTTATGCAGTAGTACATCGCAAGTCGAGGACCGTACAAAGAAGCAATGCGTTACAGCCTGATGCACTGCAGAAGTTTGTGATGCTCACACTCTGTATTCCATCTTATGTGAAACTGAGGATATGTTCTAAACAGCATCTACATTGAATTAAGAAGTCCAGCATTCTTGTGAATGGGTGCTGGGATCAGATGTTGATCGACCGGATATCCTCAGAAATGTTCGTACACAACTGATTGGTGGTGGTGGTGGGCCCTTCGCCTCAGTTCATAGTGGATTTAAAATAATTGAGATATATAAAACATGCAAATACAAAGATATAAATAGGAGTACAGAATGGAATACGAAACGACCTAGCTAGTCATGTACTCTACAGGGTACATTCATTTATTGCAGCAAAACTTAATCATGCGACTCCAGACGGTTACGAAGCTATCTGGACACACGCCTCGTCACTACTGCTGTCAGATGCCATCGGCTGACGGTCCAGATGTTACGTACCTCCTTCTCGCCCTTGACCCCACCGACTTCACTGTCGATCTGGTCGAGAAGCACCTCCTAGCAGCTGAGACTAGCATAGTCGCTGTAGGCGCTTCTTGTGGCACTCCTCGCACTCCCTTCTTTGAGGGGTGCACGCCCTCCCCCCTTCTCCTCTCAATCGCCTCTTCTGCAGCTGTTGACTACCTTCGTGCTGAGGAGGTAGGAGCCGCGTCTGCCCCCAGTGGGAGGCGCCGCAGCGGCAGGGGCAAGGGAGGCAGGAGTGTTGGGGGTGGCAGAGGTGGAGGCGGTGGTGGGTGCGGTGGAGGAGGTGGAGGGGGCGGCGGTGGAGTAGGTAGTGATGGTGGGGGTGGAGGTGTAGGTGGCGGCGGTGGTGGCAGTAGTGGGAGTGGTGGAGGCGGCGGTGGTGGCGGCAGTGGGGGTGGAGGCGGCGGGAGTGGTGGCGGTCGGGGTGGTACCAGCCAGAGGGGAGGCCTCGGAGGTGGCCAGAGGCAGCAGCAGCGTCAGCCCCTTTCGTCTTAGGAGCTCCGTGAGTGGTTTGCTCAGCGTGGGGCGGTTGGGGGTGGAGGTCGCTGCCCGTATGTCATTCGCACGGGTGACCTCACTAGTCAGACATGCGGACAGCCTCACACGTAGCACCGCTGCTTCTCCCGTCTTACCGATGCCTTTCGCGCATAGTTTCCAAACGCGCCTGAGCTCCCTCACTAGGCAGAGCTGTTAATTAGGGTGTGGATATTTTTGCTCTAGACTTTGATGCTATCATATCTGCCATGTATGCATTGACTGTTAGTTGAGGGTGACTGTTACCTGTGTATGCCGCCAGACCCAGGTATAGAGGCTGCTGCTCTAGGTGCTAGTGAGTCTGCTGCTCTAGGTGTTGGTGAGTCTGTTCTCTATGATACTACGTCTGTTACGGCCCTTCATACCTTCATGCTTGACTCAAGTGCTTCCTGCTGTTTCTTTCGCGGCAGTACAGTACCACAGTCACACCGCTCTCTGCACCTGTTGCTGTCTCTTTGGCTGACCCCTCTGGGGGCCCAATCCTTGCACGTTCCTCCACTGTTCTGCCTTGTTCGGCAGTCGCGTCCGGGTCACTGTCAGGGTTCCACCTCCCCTCGTTCTCTATGAACTCTGTGAGCACTGCTTTCCTCTAGGATGCGGGGGTTGACATCTTCACTCCTGGACGGCAGCGTGTGGCGATCTGTACGTTCTCCCGGACCAGCCGCCACCTGGCCACGTTCACCCGTCAGCCTGGGTCGAGTCTGTACACACTGAATACTGCGTCTCCTCAGGTAGGTGCGTCTGCGTCTGTGTTAGGTTAGCTTGCGGCCCCCTGCTCGTGTCGCGCCCTGTCGCACTAGACGCTCCTTTGGCACCACCGCCTTGGTCACCCCTCTGTGGCACGCCCCCGTGGCAGCAACTCCCCTCTCCTTCTCTCTGGTCTTCCCAGGTCTCTATCTCCCCTCCCACCCTCGCCTGCCCCTCCCTGCCTTCCCTATGTCGAGGGGCAGCAGCGTGCCGCTCCTCACTCCTCCTCGTTCCCCGGACAGAGGCTCCCCTGCAGACTCTTCACCTGGACGTGTGGGGCCCAGCTCGCGTCCGTGGACAGGGCAACGAGCGGTACTTTCTGCTAGTTGTCGGCGAGTACACGCGTTACACCACGGTCTTCCCCTTGCGCCGCAAGTGGGAGGTCCTTGATGTTCTGACCCCTTGGATCCGCGATGTTTGTCTCCAGCTCCGCGAGCGGTTCGAGACGGACCTTTCCGTCCTGCGTCTGCACTCTGACAGAGGTGGTGAGTTTTCATCCAACCTCTTGAGGGCCTTTTGTCGTGCGGAGGGCATTTGCCAGACGTTCACGCTTCCGGCCTCTCCGTAGCATAATGGGGTTGCTGAGCGCCGCATTGGCTTAGTCATGGAGGTCGTTCGTACCTCCATGATCCATGCGGCTGCCCCCCATTTTCTGTGGCCGTTTGCAATTCAGTACGCTGCGCATCAGCTCAACCTCTGGCCCCGTGTCTCCTTGCCGGAGACCTCGCCCACACTGCGTTGGACGGGGGAGGTTGGCGATGCGTCGGTGTTCCAGGTCTGGGGATGTCGAGCCTTT